CACATGTGGAAGCTTGCAGTAGTTAAGCAAGTCCACGTAGTTCTTTGGCACTTTGTTTCAGATAATGATTTGCTTTCTTTTCTGAAAAACTGTCAGACTACCCTTCATACATCTTATATCTTAGTATATCTTATATTTACGAGACACCGCGTTAATCCTAGAAAACTAACAAAATTAGCCATCTGATCTAAGTGTTAAATATTTGCAGCCGTTGGATGAAGTCCCTAAGAGAGTCCTAGCAATTTATCCCACACGTATGTCTCCTTACAAAAAAAAAAAGAGGTCTTCATGTGGAAGCCCAAAAGGAAAAATCAGATCCCCATGCGTGGCCGCATCTCTTCTGCCAGCGCCGCTCCTCCTCCTCCGACGCCTCTTCATGTTCTCCTTTAGTGTCGTCTTCCTATTATATACTCCAAGGTACGATCTGTGTTGCAGTCCATACAGAAGAAAATTAACGAATCCGATCTCTCCTCATTCCCCTTCACCTCCAATTTCGAGATCTTATTTTTATCCAGGTTTCTGAATCCTAGATGGGTTATGCATATATGGATGTGTATCCACGGTTGTTTGAAAGAGGGCACCATTGATATTCTGAGGGCGCACAAGCGAGAAGTCAAAGACAAGTACAGGATGGTGACAACTTCATCATCTGCTCCTGCCCTGTTTGGTCTGGACAGGTACGCACACACCTCCTCAGTTTTACGGGAAATTCTACCTACTGAAAGCAACATGTCCCGATTTGGTGAGCTGACTTATGTGCTACGTGCAGAAACTGAAGAGAAGCAGACAACGGGTAACTTCTAACAATTGTAGTTTCATGAAACTAGATCATTGTCAATTGTAAACTGCTAATTTTAGTTAAAAGCCTTGACACACTTCCTTGAACAAACATTAGATTCATCAAGTTTGAGCTACCGTTTGCTTAAGTACCATGAATGATATTATTTCCACTCAATGAGAATCATTATTTTTAAATTATTTTTCATTAGCTAGGGATACAGTAAAATTGGTTCAATAATGGACTCCTAGATGCTAATCCGACTGATTCATGTTACTCCTCCGAAAGGGACAGAATCCTCCTCTACTTCTTTCATTAGATTATTAGAGGAAAGAACTATGCATGGTCTCTCTATGTACTAGATGCTTGTACTCATAACTAGCTGTCGAGTTGAAAATAACTACTTACCATCCCATACAACATTTCCTTCTGACTGACATACAACGAAATCCCTCGCGTTGGTTGCTTGAAGTTTTTAAACACCATTTTTATCTTTCTGTAACAATTGCTTCCACCATTATTTCAGGAACGCAGTTGTTCAGAACTTCGGACAGAAGATCATATCTGCTTGAAGGGCGGCTCCATTGCAATTTCGCCATATGCGCCTCCACAGAAATTGCCAAAACCATCTTTCATATACTTCCACCATCTCCTTCTACGACGGCACGAATGATCCCAAGGGTAGATTAATATGCCAGGTAAAATGGCCGCCTGTCGGCGAACAATACTCTTATTCCCCTCTTCTTGTTTTGCTGAACTGACCTTTCTATGTGCCCCATACAGGTGCCTGCGCATCTGGTTGGGAGAAGTTCAAGAACGACCTGCTGTTTGACATTTCAACCGATTGCCCACCCATGGCTGTGGTTTTTCTGTTACGTCTTGGTGATCATCGCATACGGATGATGATGATCCGACTCCTGAAGCCGTTTGGTGTGTTTGTCTCAGAGGGGGATGCTCCGACTCGTGAAGCTGGGCAGTATCCTGAAACAGATGTTACAGAGGAAGCAAACGACTTGTCGCAAACCCTTCGTAATGAAGCAGGCTATGGTGTTCGACTGATGGTACACGTATACGATAAAATTTGAACCATCCTTGTATGACAGATGACATGAAGAGTTGTTGATTTTCTTGTTTTCAATCTGTACGTTCCATGTTAGTGTCGTACCAGCATTGTGCAGGAAAGTATCGTATGCACATCATTTTCGATGGTGTTCCTCTTTTGTTTTTTTTTTGAAACAAGGCAAAATATTTGCCATTTTTTTTGGTGAATACGCTTAGCAGCGTATCATTTCATTGATAGGTGGGAGGGTTGGAAAGTACAAGGAAGATATTTGCCATTTTCATTGATTAAGAAGAAGAGAATTGCCCGGTTAATTGACGGAAAACCGGACTAAAACCGATACAACCCAACCCACATGACATGGGCACCACCGGCCATCCTGGCCACCGACATGGGACACAACCCCGACGGCACATGCCACCAAATGGCCACACGCGCAAGCAACCGACAGCTCCGACTTTGACGGCGAGCCTCACAAGGAAGATATGCAGGACTTGCGCCGACCGTGCCCTCCGCAAACCGGAAGAGCACCTCGGACACGCCGGGAAGAACCGACTACCGAAGTCCAAGCCGCGACCCGAGCTCCTCTCGACGCCATCATCGTTGCCAACCAGAAACCAGCGCCCCGCCTCAGCAAACCACGCGGCGAAGATGCCACCATCCACGGCGAAGATGCCGCAATCCACTAGTCTCTCGGTCGTAGCCGGCTCCGAGACGATGCCCCCTAGGAGGAGAAAGACGCGAAGACGCCTCCATCGCCCGATCTAGCGGATCTGAGGTTTCCCTCCGGAGCCAAAGCCGTGGGGAGGAGCACCTCCACGGCGACGCTTCCAAGAAAGATCACGACACCTGCGGGCGCCGCCGTCGCCGGCTCCGATGAAGACCGGAGCAAGAATTTCTCCCGGAGAGCACCACCCCACCGACCGTCGCCTACCAATCACCACCCCTGCTGAGGCTGACCTCACCCTAGCCACGGGATCCCACGATCCACCGCGCCCAGGCACGCACCACCCCCTGGCCGTAGCCGCCGTCCACCACCGCAACACCATAGTGACCACCACCACCGCAGCGACCATCGCATCGCAAGGAGCAGCAGCAAGATCAGAACCACCAAGGCCAGATCCAGATCGGAGCAGCTCCAGCGAAGCAGCATGGAGACGAGCAGGCCCTGCACCGCAGCACACCTCGAGCTCCGGAGATGCCACGCCCGTCGCGCCCCACCAGCCACCGCGCCCGCCGCGCGCAGTCATCGCCGCGCCCGGCCAAGGATCTGCGCCCCGCGCTCACATCCAGAGCCGAGAGCCGGCCCAACCACGCGCGCCGTCCACTCCCAGGTCACGGCCGGAGCCCGGACCGCGGCCGCCGCCCCGGCGCCCCAACCTCTGGCCGCAGCCGACGCCAAGCCGAACGCCGGCCGCCCGTCCGCGCCAGCCGCCGCCCGCGAGGTCCTAGATCG